TCCAAATTGGAAAGGAAGAAGTGAAACTGTCACTATTTGCAAAGGACATGATTTTATGTGTAGAAAACCCTAAAGAATCCACTAAAAACTTTTATAAATAATAAATGAATACAGTCAAGTGGCAGAATACAAAATCAACATACAAAAACCAGTTGCATCTATACGTTAACAGCAAAGTAGCAGAAAGAGAAATTAAGAATACAGTCCCATTTACAATTGCAATAAAATAATAAAATACCTAGGAATAAACTTAACCAAAGAGGTGACACATCTGTACACCAAAAACAATAAAACACTGTTGAAAGAAATTGAAGAAGATACAAATGGAAAGATATTCCATGCTCTCAGATAGGAAAAATGATCATACTTACAATGTCCATATTTCCTAAAGCAATCTATAGATTCAATGCAATCCCTTTCAAAGTTCCAACAACTTTTTTCACAGAAATAGAACAAAGAATCCTAAAATTTGTATGGAACCACAAAAGACCCTGAATAGCCAAAGGAATCCTGAGGAAAAGAACAAAGCTGGAGGTGTCACACTCCCTGATTTCAAAATATACTACAAAGCCATAGTAACCAAAACAACATGATACTGGCACAAAAACAGACACACAGATCAGTGGAACAGAATTGAGGGCCTGGAAATAAACCTACACGTATATGAACAACTAATTTGAGACCAGGGTGCCAAAAACACTGTAGAGAAAGAAAAGTCTCTTCAATAATTGGTGTTGGGAGAACTGGACAGCCACATGCGAAAGAATGAAAGCAGACCATTATCTTACACCATGAACAAAAATCAACTCAAAATGGATTAAAGACTTGAATGTAAGGTCTGAAACCATGAAACTTCTAGAAGAAAACATAGGCAGTATACTCTTTGAGACGGGTCTTAGCAGCACTTTTTAAAATACCGTGTCTGACCAGGCAAGAGAAAGAATAGAAAAAATGAACAACTGGGACTACATCAAACTAAAAAGCTTCTGCACAGCAAAGGAAACCATCAACAAAACAAAAAGGCAACCTAACAATTGGGAGAAGATATTTGCAAACCATATATCAGGTAAGGAATTAATATCCAAAATATACAAAGAACTCATACATCTGAACAACAAAAAAATTAACAACCCAATCAAAAAATGGGCAAAAGATCTGAACAGAGATTTTTCCAAAGAAGACATACAGATGGCCAACAGAAACATGAAAAGATGTTCAACATCATTAACTATCAGGAAAATGCAAATCAAAACTACAATGAGATACCACCTCACTCCAGTCAGAATGGCTATAATTAACAAGACAGGAAACGATAAATGTCAGAAAGAATGTGGAGAGAATGGAATCCTCATACACTGCTGACAGGAATGCAAATTGGTTCAGCCACTATGGAAAACAGTATGGAGTTTCCTAAATTTAAGAATAGATTTGCCATATGATTCAGCTATTCCAGCTGCTGGGTATTTATCCAAAGAACTTGAAAACACAAATGCTTAAAGATACATGCACCCCTATGTTCATTGCAGCATTATTCACAATAGCTAAGACTTGGAAGCAACCTAGGTGCCCATGAAGGGGTGAATGGATAAAGAAGATGTTGTATAGATACACAATGGAATACTACTCAGGCATAAGAAATGATGAAATCTATCCATTTGTGACAACATGGATGGACCTTGAGGGTATGATGCTAAGTGAAATAAGACAGAGGGAGAAAGTCAAGTACTGTATGATCTCACTCATAAATAGAAGATAAAAACAACAACAACAATCACATAGAGACAGAGGTTGGATTACTGGTTACCAGAGGGGAAGGAGAGAGGGAGGAAGGTGAAAGAGGTGATTAGGTACATGTAGGTGATTATGGATTGTAATCAGTCCTTGATTTGTGAACATGACGTAATCTACACAGAATTTGAAATATGTTACGATGTACACCTAAAATTCATATAATTTTATAAACAAATGTTACTTCAATAAAAAATAAAAATAATAAAAATTAAATTTTTTTAAAAAATAAAAAAGAGTGAAAAGGCAACCTACATAATGAGAGAAAATATTTGTTGAATCATATATCTGATAAGAATCTGGTATCCAGAATATATAAAGAACTCTTAGAACTCAACAACCGAAAAACAAACAACCAATTAAAAAATGGAGCAAGGTCTTGAATAGACTTTTATCCTTGAAGATATGCAAATGGTCAAGCTCATGAAAAGATGCCCAACATCATTTCTCATTATAGAAATGCAAATCAAAAGCCACAATGAATGCCACTGCACACCCAATAAGATGGCTATAACTAAAAGCAAAACTAAAAACCAAAACCAAAACCAAAAAAACTCCAAAAATTAATTCTGGGAAAGACATGGACAAATTAGAGGTCTCATACATTGCTGATGGCAATGTGAAATGATTGGGCCACTGAGGAAAACAGTTTGGCAGTTCCTCAGAGAGTTAAATATAGAATTACCATATAACCCAGATATTCTACTCCTACGAATACATCCAAAATCATCGAAAACAGGTACTCAGACATGTACATTTATGTTCATGCATGTTCATAGCAGCACTATTCACAATAACCAAAAGGTAGAAACAGCTCAACTGTCTATCAGCAGATGACTAGATAAACACATTGTAGTATACCCATACAGTCAAATATCATTCAGCCATTAAAAGGAACAAAGTACTGATATATGCTACAACATGGATGAACTTTGAAAACGCTAAGCGAAAGTAGCCAGACACAAAAGTTGCCTATTGTATTGTTCCATTTATATAAAATATCCATATTAGGTGTGGATAGGTAAATCCATGGAGACAGAATGTACATTAGTGGCTACCAGGGACGGTGTTAAGGGGATAATTAGGAGCTTCTGCTTAATGGATACAGGGTTTCCTTTTGAGGTGATGAAAATGTCTTGGGAGTAGATAGGGGTGGTGTTTTCATAACTTTGTGAATGTACTAAGTGTGACTTAATTGTTTACTTTTTTAAAAAAATCTTTTTGTGAGGAAGATTGGCCCTGAGCTAGCATCTGTTGCCAATCTTCCTCTTTTTGCTTGAGGAAGATTGTCCCTGAACCAACATCCATGCCCATCTTCTATTTTTGTATGTGAGATGCCGCCACAAGGTGGCTTGACAAGTGGTGTATAGGTCCGTGCCTGGGATCCGAACCCATGAACCCCAGGCAGCTGAAGCAAAGCGTGCAAACTTAACCACTATGTCACGAGGCTGGCCCCTGAATTGTTCACTTTAAAATAGTTAATTTTATGTTTTGTCAATTTCACCTTAATAAAATTTAAAAAATTTTAAATAATAAATAAATCTTAATTATCGACTTCTTATCTACTTCAAGTTATCAAGCCACATCTAGCCACTGTGCTGTCTTACCCAGACTACCACAATACCCCAACTGCTCTTTCTACTTTCACTCTTGCTTAACTCCAATGTATTCACAGAGCTATGAATTATCCTTTTAAAATATAAATCTCTTTATGACATTCCACCAGCATTCCATCACAAATAGCTTTTCAATACACATAAAGTAAAAATCAAAGTCCTAGACATGACCTTTAAGACCAAGTATCGTCTGCTACTTGTTTATCTCACTTTCTCCCTTGACCATCCTGCTTCAGGTACACTGATCTCCTTGTGATTCCTTGAACATACCAAGTCGACTCCTGCTCAGGCCCTTTGTCTTGATGTTCTCTCTTCCTGGTAGCCTCTTCCCACTGACATCTACATGCACTTTCACCTTATTGAGGTATCTATTCAGTTGTCATCCCTCAGAAACAGGTGTTAATTAGCATCCCTCATCACTGTCTATTTTTTACTCCATTTTTGCTTTTGTCATAGTACTTATCTATTACTATATGATATATTTGCTTATCCTTTCTTTCAACCTCCTTTAAATTTTGAGGTATTTTTTTTTAAAGATTGGCACATGAGCTAACATCTGTTGCCAATCTTCCTTTTTTTTCTTCTTCTCCCCAAAGCCCCCCAGTACCTAGTTGTATATTCTAGCTGTAGGTCCTTCTGGCTCTGCTGTGTGGGATGCCACCTCAGCATGGCTTGACAAGCGGTGCTATGTCCCTGCCCAGGATCCTAACCAGCAAAACCCTGGTCCACCAAAGCACAGCACGCAAGCTTAACCACTCAGCCATGGGGCCAGCCCCTGAGGTCTGAAGTATAAGATTTTGTCTGGTGCTGGTGGTGGTGGTTGTTATATTTGTATCCTCATTGCATAGAAGAGTACCTAGAATATAGAATTTATTTAATAAATCTTTGTAGACTTGTTAAATTAATGAATTTTTATAATATCTATGAAGTTTTTTTGTTACAAAATGTCTAGAAGGAAGAGCATTGTGATTGATAAGAGAAAGCCTAGATTAGAACGTCACTTCTGCTTCTTCACCCAATCTTTCTGAACTTTGCGTTTTTAATATAAAAGTGAAAGGCTTATATTTTCCTTTTCAATTCTAACAGTAAATGTTTCCTAGGAAGATTTGATAACTTTCATCATATATTAATAGCCAATCCTATTAGAGTAGGAAAACTGATTAGATGACCTCTCCAGATTATTTGGATCTATGCATTATCATCACTGTGTTTGTTGTTTTATTTTGTTTCATTAATTTACTTTTTTTTATTAAAAAAAGGGCTTGCATTTATGAAGTCAAGAACATGTTTCTATAACTATCAAATAGTGATATTCTGAGTTTTTATCTTTAAGACTTTTAGGAAAAATTCAATATACAATATAGAAAAAAACAAACAAAAATAAATACAATCTATAAGAGTTATTCTTTTCTCATTGTTCTGGGGAAGTCTCATGCAATGGCAAACACTTAGGCCCACCTACTTTGATCATTGAGTTGCTGACTCAACTCCATGCTAGTTCTGCTGGTAGGATGAAATAACTAAGAGGTTATCAGGGCCATAGAAACCTTTATGATCTACCAATTCTTGTGTGTCCGTGGAGACTCATTCAGTTCAGCTGCTCCTCGACACTCCATAAGGAAAGAACTCATTTGAGGATCTTGCAGACCAAGAAATCTTTTGTGGAATTTTCTGCAATTCCTCATTTCACGCCAGACCCTGGTAAGTAGAGCTGGATGGACTGTATAATAAGGTGCCCTTGCTCTCTGATAGAAACTTTCGTAAAGAAGAAAAGTTACTGATGAAAGCCAGTGGATTGTGTGTGTGTGCACTAGTGAGCAGTTGAGGTTTCATCTCGTTTTCAGTGACTGTAGAGTGAATGACAACAGGGGAGCAGGCCGCAAACCTGAACTCCCTCTGCTCCTTTCCTGAAAGTGAAGAAAGAGCATCAAAGGGAATGAAAGTGACTGAATATCCACCAGAAATGTATTGTATATTCTTGCTTTGGGTCACAGCCATGGTTTGCATTATAAAGTGAAAGCTTCCTAATATAACATTTATGAACACCTTAGTCCTTGGTTATACATACCATTGAGAAGTTGTGAAAAATATGTATGTGCGCTAGGAGTAATTATTTGCTATCGATCAATTTATATTATCTTTTGTAATCTGAGGTGTAATGACCAAATCTTTAATTGCTACTTCTCAGCTTTGTTTAGTTTTTTCTCCTGCACGACGTTTGAAAGTTTTTTCCCCTTGTAATCATACATATTAAATGCATAATAACTCTATAACTCAAAGCAGTTCCTTGCATTACATGAAGAATACAGTGTCAGGGAATTTTATATTTAAAGAACATTATATTATTATTTGTAAATTAGCAGTTCTAGTCTTTTCATGGTGTTTGTTAGATAATCGTATTCCAAATAATAAATAGGATTAAAGAAATCATGGAGTTTGCATAAACTAGCTAAGAATTTTAAATTGCCCTGTTTGATGAAATAGTTCTTTTCAAATTGCTTAAGACATAGATCCTTAAATTCACTGAGGTTATGTCTATGACATGACCAATTTGCGTTCTCATTCAAAATTATTTTTCTAGCTTTAATTCACACCATGAAAATAGAAAACTTCCAAAGTATTTTGTCTGTTTTAACACAGTAAATGTTTCTATTATTCATGAGAATGGAACTACTGGAAACAATCTTCAATATTATGGACATCTTCCCTACTCAACCTCACCACCCTGCTCCCTCCTCATCACAGCCTCCATTGTTTTTTCACTTCTAAAATAGTTTGCGTCCGTCATCGAAACCTAGCTATAAGCTGCATAGGTGAGCTGTTTTTTGGCTCAAGTGTTCCAAATTCAGGTTTTGATCCTTAATTTTTTGGGGGCAAATATAGTACGTATTTCCAGATACAGTCTCCTGTGACTTTGTTATAGGTAGAAGACATTTGTTTTAATTTCTTTTCTTAGCATAATCACAAATGAAAAGACAGGATATAGCAATTTGCCAAAATACCAGTTCTATGCCTTTGTTTCTGGACATGGCTTTTTTATGTCACATATGAGTTAAGACTGATAGAGATTTAATGGCCTAATAAATAAAGGCTTTAGTATAGCCATCCAATTATATTAGCATATGTAAATATGTCAGTCAGAAAATATTTACACAGCAACAAAATCCTGGTTTAGTAAACAATAAGAAAATTCAGAGGAAAAAATATTATCTTTTAGATGAGGTATAAGTTTAGATTGAATTATTCTATCAGGATGGTCATTTCAGATTTTGTTCAGATGACAACAACAACAGAAGCGCTCAATCCTATAAATTCTGCATCCCTGCTACTCTGGACTAGCTAGTTGGTGCTGGAATCATTTAACCTAGAAGTATCATTTTCCCTTACCCTTCCAACTGCACTTCATACACCGATGTTTACTCCAGTTTTCCAGCTAAACCAGAGAATAGGAAGCGAGTGCAAATGAGCTTGCTTTCGTAATTGCATTTTCTCCTGTGATCATTAAATGTGTTTTATCTTTAAGATGCTAAAATGCTAAGACACCACAAGGGAATAGTAACTCCAGAATTAACCTGTTATGTCTGAGAAATGCTACAGATTTGTACTTTAAAGATTCTTGCAAGAGTGTGTTTTCAATGTTGTCTCCAAGAGATGTTGCAAAGTTTTATTGGCAGAAATCTAGAGACATTACTTAACCTTTTCTGTAAGCCGTGAGCCAATATTCTGTATTTAGAAATTTTGATTGTCGTTATCAAATCATGTATAAGCAAGTTTTCCCTACATCTAATTTTAAGCTCCAATACCCTAGTAGGACATGGAGACATTGAGATGATGCAGAGAAAAAGGAAAAAAAAATGAATAAAAATTAAGAATAGAAAATATGTCTGATGATAAATACTACTGGGAGAAATTTAAACATTCTCCTGTATTTAAAAAAATGATCTGAATGCAAATAATCAACTGTTTGATTTTCACAGAGTATAAGGATTAATGAAACTAAACTATGAGGAATAAATTAGAGTTTAGGGCAGTGAAAGACACAAACAATTTGTAGGATGGTTAAGACTAACTCAGATACTAAAGTTAACCAACAGTACATTTCATAAGTATAGTAGCTATCTTTATATTTTCTGTGTGTAGCACAACGATTGTAGCATCATAGCTGTTTAAGTAATATCTATTGACTAGAGGAATGAAAGAAAAAATTGAAACAGATTATTATCAGTACTCTGATTGCTTCGCAGATGAAGAGATTCCTCTCTCTGTAACAAATGTCTGCCCTTACCTTACTCTGGGAAGCAACCTGTACTGTGAATTCATTTTATCAACAACAAGACTACTTTAAAGCAGGACAAGAAAGCAATCATTCTGGCTGGGCTGATTACAGGAACCACTTGATTTCTCGGGATCCTGAAATATGAAATGCTGGGTCTGGTTTCCTACTCTGTTTTTTGTTTGCTGCTAGTGCCTGTTTGTTTTGGGTTTTTTCCCTTTTTTTTTTTTTTTAATATGTTTGGCTTCCTCTGAGTAAGGAAGTCTAGGCATGTGTAATTATGCATCAGCTCTCCTTTTGTCCTCTAGTTTAGACTTCTATAACCTGACATGGGTTAATATACTCTGAGCAAATAACTCCTAATTTATAAATTAAGAATCTAAGTTGGCCTGAGCCATTCTTCTCCACAAATTATACCTTTGAATTGAATGATGACAGTGTCCAGTCAACTTGGGCCTCGATCCTCTCCATATTGTCCAGGTTTGCTTGATGGCCTAAGTTCTGAGCTAATCCATCTACCTGGAGAGATAGTAACCACATGTTCCCTAATGTATAGGACCTCTGGCTTTGATGCTATCCCAGAATTCTCCAGCTACCTCAGCTGAGCTTCCTGTACCAATGGCTCCTAGATCTTGATATGCTACTTTTGCTGTATTTGATTCAGATAATTTTGAGAGTCTGCCTTAAGTTCTTGAAGACAAGTAATTCTAGAATGGAATGATATAATATGTGCATATATATAAATCACTCCATATAAATTGTTTAAATATACTGACTTTTTGAATTCAAATTTATTACTATAGTTTCACTTGCAAGATGATATAGTTAATCAAATGGGCAAAAAAGGGTTGTGCCCACTAAGGTTTATACATTTTCTAAGGTTCATTTGTTGAAAGATCTGTCACTCTCCATAATGCACAAATGTTGTGAACCACTATTTTAGGAGTTAAGGGAATTAGATGTGGAGGTCAAATTACTGCTGGCTCTCACATCTATAGCTCACTCTTACTGTGCTCTGTGTATTAGTCTCCTCTTGCCACTGCAACAACTTACCATAAATTTAGCTGCTTGAAACAAAACACATTTATTATCTTACAATCCTAAAGGTCATTATTCCAAAATGGGTCTCCTGGAGCTAAAATCAAGGTGTCTGTAGGGCTGTGTCCCTTTTGAAGGCTCTAGAAGACAATCTTTGTCCTTCACTTTTCCAGATTCTAGAGGCTGCCTGCGTTCCATGTCTTGTGGCTCCCTTCCAACTTCAAAGCCAGCAATGAACGGTGGGTTGAGCCTTCATATCACATCACTTTAAACTTGCTTCTTTCCTAACGTCTTCTCTAACTCCTTTGTCTAACCCTTTTATGTTTAAAGGAAACTTGTGATTATATTGGGCCCAGCCAGACAATCCAGGATAATCTCTGTATTTTAAAGTCAGCTGATTACCAGTCTCAATTCCATCTGTAATCTTAACTCCCTCTTGCCACGGAACCTAGCATATTCCCAGGTTCTGGGGATTTGGTTGTGAACGTCTTTGGGGAGGGAGGAGGGTACTATTCAGTCCGCCACACTGCTTGGCATTGCAGTCAACCATGTTTCTAAATTTCCCTTGCCAACTATTTCATACTAGTTTCAGCTCCTGCATAATGCTGAAAGGATGCTGGGGATTGAAAGAAGAGGGAATCAGATAGTCCTTTGCTTGGGCAATGTATCCAGCAGCCACTGTTTCTCCTCCCTTTCCAGATTAGTGTTCTCAGAAATTCTATTATTTTTCTTAAGAAATTTCCTGCATTACATTTCACTTATTTAAAATTCCACATTGTTTCTGTTTTCCTGACTGAACATTGACTTATGGAGTTCTTGGTAACCGGGTGGCCCTAGGAAATATACCTCAAAGATGGGAGAGTAGAAATGAGTTGCTTATCTGTTAGTGACTGAATTTAGTGATAACATTCTTTTTTTTTTTTAGGAAGATTTAGCCCGGAGCTAACTATTGCCAGTCCTCCTCTGTTTTGCTGAGGAAGCCTGGCCCTTAGTTAACATCCATGCCCATCTTCCTCTACTTTATAGGTGGGACACCTACCACAGCATGGCATGCCAAGTGGTGCCATGTCCGCTCCCGGCATCCGAACTGGCGAACCCCGGGCCACCGACAAGCGGAACGTACGAACTTAACCGCTGTGCCACCAGGCCGGCCCCAGTGATAACATTCTTGAAAACAGAAAATAGTATAACAATTATCTATGGCCTGTAGTGGCAAAATAACTACATGTATTATCACATGTGTTTGCTTTGAATGAAGTGGTGATTGATGGAAAGGCTTTGGAGAATCAAACAACTGTTGTATCTTTCAAGTTTATTGATAATGATGACAACAAGATAACAGAATTCTTTGTCATCCTACTGGGATAGAAAGTTTAGTAAAAGTATATGATAAATTCTGGGAGTTAAACTTGACATTCAAAGCAAGGGTAGAGAACCAGAGTGCTTATACAGGGGTAGAGTGAACAAGTTGCAAGTTGAATTCACAGCCTGACCAAATCACTCATATTAAGATGAGGGTATTAATTGGAAAGGAGGGAAACCCCAGGACTTAGGATGGCAAACTCTGTAACCCATTACAGAAGACTGGAGTTGTTTTTTTGTGTTTTTTTTTGAGGAAGATGAGCCCTGAGCTAACATCTGTAGCCAATCCTCCCCTTTTTTTTTTTGCTGAGGAAGATGGCCCTGAGCTAACATCCATGCCCATCTTCCTCTACCTTTTATATGTGGGACACCTGCCACAGCATGGCTTGACAAGCAGTGTGTAGGTCCGCACCCGGATCCAAACCAGTGAACCCTGGGCCACCTAAGCAGAGCATGCGAACTTAACTGCTGTGCCACCGGGCCGACCCCTAGATTGGAGTCTTTTAAGCTTGGTGTTCCTTAGGTGAGATGCAAATCCACTACATGCACAGATCTACCTGGGTCAATTCACATGACCCTGTGGGAATTGTGGGCAAGAGGAACCAATGTAGACGTGAAGCTCATTATCTGCTGGGCTTTGAGTAATAAAATCTTTTGTCTCTGACCCAGGAGACTCTTGATTTTTGCCAGCATCCACGAAACTGTGAAAGGTTAACTTGTTAGCCTTCGAACAGGATAAAACTTCAGAGTCCTCATAGTTCTTGACAACCTGAAGCTCTGTGATTGAAATGGAGACTCAGTTCCCTTAATGAGAGGAGTAGATATGTTATATACTGCAAGTCTTCCTCCAATTAATTAGAAACCACCACCAAAGGCTATGGTGGTAAGGTGATAAATGGAGTTTTGGCCTAGGTGGGTCTCCCAGTAGGCACCTTGTATTCTCAAACTACCCTACGTTTATTTTTCCAGTCCATGAATATTTCATTGGGATAGGCATTTGGGAACTTGCAGAATGTCCACATTGGTCACCTGAGCTGGCAGGTAGGTTATGGATGTCAAGAATAACTACGGATAAGCTCCTAGCATAAAATCTCATTATCAAACAGCCAACCAAGTGTACCAAATTCTTAAGAGAATTTCAGAAGTTAGTACCACTAAAAAAGAAAGACACAGGAGTGGTGATTCCATCACATCACCATTTAAGCTGCTATTCAGAGGTACAAAAGCTAAATAGATCTTTGACAATGAAGATTAACATAAACTTAAATCAGGAGGTGATTGATTTACTGGAGCAAATTCATTTCTCCGTTAATTTAAAAAATAATTTTAAAAGCCAATTTTTAAGTAGGATCAAAAGAAGTTTCTGTTTAACTGGTAGGGTCAACTCTGTACCTTCAGTGGCTTACTCAGTGCTTTACAGGAATTCCTGGTCTCTGACATAGTACTATTCGGATGTATCCGAATATATATATGTTATGAGTTGCACATTCCAAAAAAGATATGTTGAAGTTCTAACCCCCAGTACCTCTGAATATGATCTGATTTGGAAATAAGCTCATGACAGATGTAATTAGTTAAGATGAGGTCATACTGGAGTTGGGTAGGCCTCTGATTCAACATGACTGGTGTCCTCACAAGCAGACAGCCATGTGAAAACACAATGACACAGGAAGAACCCTGTGGGAAGATGGAGGCCAACACCGGATACATCTACAAGCCAAAGAATGTCAAGGATTGCTGGCCATCATCAGAAGCTAGGAGAGTGGCATAGAACAGATTCTTCCTTAGAGCCTCCAGAAGGGAGCAGCCCTGTGGACACTTTGACTTTTAGCCTCCAGAAGTGTGAAAGAGTAAATTCTTGCTGGCTTAAGCTACCCAGTTTGTGGTACTTTTTTATGGCAGCCTTGGAAACTAATACATCTCACAGAACTTCTCACTGATTTACTATTTTGATGAGATCATGCTGATCAGACCTAGAGAGCAGGAAATAGCAAGTACTCAAATGCTTTAATAAGACACTTATGTGACTGAATTTGGCAATAAAGTCCAAAAAGATTCAGAGATGTTCATGTTGATGAGGTTTCTGGTGAAGCAGTTTGAATAAGATGGGCCTTGAAAGTTGACTGACATTGAAAATGTTGCAAAGGAAAAGAAAATTTACCCAAGAATTGGAGAAAAATGAATAACAGCAAAAACAAAGAGAGAGACTGATTTGTCCTATTTTTATAAATATATATATTTTTAGAATAGTGTTGTTTTCATACATTAGTTATATTTCTCCAGCTAGATAAAGAGTTTGTATATCTCTAAAATATGGACAGTACCTTCTTCTTTGTTAATAAACAGTATTTAATATACATTGGTGTTTACCTTTGCAGACTCAACAAGTATTTGAATGTCTCAGGGTTTCATAGTATGCACATGAGTAATTAATACTTGTTGATGAGTTGTTTCATACTACCAGGGTTTAAGGATATTGAGGTTTAAATTGTGTAAAAGGATTGCAAAATTTATGTAATAAAGCATAGTATTTCTATGAAAGAACTGATGAAAGACTTAAGGGAAATACTAAAAGTCACCATCAAATCTAAACAGTTATATCTGTTCAGACAAAATTGTTATCTCTGAGAAGAGTTTGTAGCTATGACAGTGGAGGGATAAGAGTGTTGGGCACAGAGCTAAACAGAAAGTATTTATCCTAGCAGAGTGTCTTTGCCTCTTATTATAGCCTGAAAGCAGCACTTTAAAATCCTCTGGAGGTGTGTACGGGGTCACTCTTTCTCTGACTCTCCAGTTGGAAAAGAGAAGGCAAGTTCCAAAGAACAGGTTGACCCCTGACCCTGAGAACAGTGCTGTACTGATTAGGAACACAAGTCGTTTGTTTTGAGGGAAGAAAGAAGTTGCTTCTTTTGGTATCCTCATTGTATCTTTCCTGGAGCAAACCTAGATCAAATTTCAAGAAATCTATAACTCTGTGATTCTATTATTTAAATTCCAATAATAAAGGTAGAATAGATTAGGTAGGGAAATGTCATTCCTTGCCCAAGGCTACGTTAGAAATCCATGTCACAGGTAGAATTGGAACACAAGCCTCCCTCACAGTATTAACAGTCACACTCCTATCCGTCATATTCTTTTACTTACCTAAAACAGCTCTTTTTCATATTTAAATAATACATATATTTTAAAGGGTAAAAGCTACCAGTATATGATCTCATTTTGCCTGTCTTATATGCCAGACCGCTCCCCACAGTCTCATAAATGATGAGAAAAATTCTTCAAATCATGATTCCATGAATTAATGTCATCTAAAAGAAGGATTCTTTGTACTACAAGCAGGTGCGCCGGTGTGAATATGTGCTGTCCCATATTGAGGAGCCATATATTTCACAGTTAGGCTCTACACACAGAAATAAACAGCCATATGGCAAACAAACTTACTTTTTACTGCTTCATTTTATTTGTTTCAAAATAGTGCAATGTCACAAATCCAGAATATTAACAACGCTCCATCTGGAGAAATGTAAGTTTTGGAGCCCCAAACCAGCACGTTAGCGTTCCCACAAAACTTCAGAACTTCAATTGACTCCAAACTTGGAACAGACTTTATGTCAACCCAGCATGTCTTCCTAATGTTACGCTAGTGGCTCAATTAAAAATGAGTATAAAATGGGAAAATTCGTAATTCTGGAAATATTTTTAAAAGTTGGCCCCCTTGCATACAGTTCTAATAGACTATGATAATGTTTATTAATAGATAGCTTTATATATTTAGTTCACTTTATTCACCACTATTTGCAAATGAAAAAAGGGATGTACAGAGAGTTGTGTGCATATGTCTGATCTGCAGTTTGAATCCCAGCTCTTTAGATGAGAAATAAGTGACTGATGCTTTCTTCGTTAGTTCAATGAAAATTCTATTTATATTCATTTTGTTTTCTAGGCAGAGTAGAAGAGAAGAAAATGAACAGAAGATGAGTTCTGATTTCAAAGGACTTTATTAAATATAAATATAACAGATTGCAAAGGGTCCAAAGTTCTGTTTGGTATGTGCTTTATTTGATAAAAAGTTAAAGGAACTAATTGGGAGTGATGCCTTTCTTAACCATGAGGAAGCTACAGAATTTGGACAGTGGAATAAGGAAAGTCAATAACAACCAAATGAAATTCAGGTTATATGTTTATGAAAAGCTCTAGCATATTGTTGGTTTATATGTTTGTTTTTGTTTTTTATTTCGTTTTTGTTTTCCTTTAAAACACATTAAAGACGTTTCATTGTAAAGTATTATCAAAACATGCATAAACACATCCACACAATTTAATGGACTTTTGTAAAGTGAATGCACATGAAACAATCATTCAACAGATGTAAAAAAGTAGAACATGGGTAGCGGGGCAGAAGCCCATTGTACGTCTCTTTGCAATCACAACCCCTTTCTCTCAACCCCAGGAGGAAAGATTAAACTTGCTTATCATTGCTCTCATGTTCCTTGTTTTTTTCTTAACGTTTTAGCACTTATACATCCATCACCAAATGATAGTTTAGTTCAGGGATCCACAAACATCTTCCGCAAAGGCCAGATACTAACTGCTTTAGTCTTTGCAGGCCATCGGGGTCTCTGTTGCAACTACTCACCTCTGCCATTGTAGCACAAAAATAGCCATAAATAATGTGTAAAAGAATGAGTATGCCTGTATTCTAGTAAAACAATTTACAAAAACAGACGATAGACTAGATTTGACCCAAAGGCCATCATTACTGACTTCTGGTTTGTTTTTTCCTGTTTTTGAACTTTATATGATCAAAATCTGTTTTACTAGGTTAGGTTTTTAGCTTTTTGTTTTTCTCACTGAACATTGTGTTTATAAAATACATACATGGAAGCTGTGGTTTGTTCATTTTCTTTGTTATTTAATATTCTATTACATGAATATTCCATAATTCATGTTTCCATTCTGTTGCTGATGAACATTTGAATTGTTTCAAATTTTTGGCTATGACAGTACTTCTCTGAAAATTCTAGTATAAGGATCCAGGTGCACATGTGAATGAGTTTTACCGATGTATATACTGATGGATATAATTAATGAGTCATAGAGTATGCATAACTTCAAGTATACATGGATAATGCCAATTTATTTTCCATAGTGGTTGAATCAACTGACACTGTCACCAGAATGGTACGTGAGTTTCAGTTGTTCTCTAACTTTGTATATATATTAAAGTTTTGATAGATTTTACGTGTGTCCTGGAAGATAAAGTTTGCCTAATATATCTTTTTTTTAATCTCATACCTTCACCCATTTTGTATTATAGACTTGTCTCTCATAAGCAGCATATGATTGCTATGGCTTCTCCCAATATGATAGTGTTTGTCAGTAAACTGAAACACTTAGTCCATTTGATTGAAGGTAATCATTACTAAAATTTTGTATTTAATCAATTGTTCTTGGGCTAATTCCCAAACTTCCTTCATTCATTCCCCCTCATCACCTTTTTTTCTTTTGATTTTAATAAAATACTTCCTATTTTTACCCACTATCTATTTGGAACACATAAACTGTGTTCTCCTTTGTGTTAGATGATCTCACGCTGAAGTTTTCCAGTGAAACATTATTATTGGAATTCCCAGAGATCTAAGGATGAATGTGTTTTTTACTACAGAGTATTTGGATTTGCATTTACTTCTATCAAGAACATGGGACATTATCAGTTGTGGACTATCTCAAACAAAATCCATCGCTTTGAGTGTGGAAACTAATAAACAGAAATCTCATTAAAATGAAGTCTGGAGGCCAAAAGAGGGGGCTCTCACACCCTACCTGGATTGTGGAACCCAGCAAGAAAAAGAAAGATTTCTTCTTCTTGACAGGCAAGAAGCTCAGCCAATGAAAAGCCTCTACACACGGAACTCTCAATTGCTTCAACGGACCCAGAGTATTTACAATAGCCCACCCAACTTTCTCTTCCCCTCCGTAAAGAGTTTCTCCTCCCTTTGCTGCTGGGGGAGCACGTGGCTCGCAATGGTTGCAGACCGTGA